CTTTGTACAAAGGTGGTTTCCAGCAACTCACATAAAAAATAAGTGTATGCTACATTAAGAGTACAAAAAATAAAACTTTTGTAGCAGCTGAATCAATGTAACGAAAAACACAAAAAAAAAATTATAAAGTGCAACCAGCATGGCGCTTTAGATAATGTATTCAGTACTCCAGTTTTTTTTATGTAAAAGCACAGACTACCGCTGCTGCTACTAAGAATGTTATTAAATAATTCTCTAATGTTATTGTTGATACACATATGGTGACGGGGTGAGAGAGCACGCGAGCGACTGTGTCTGCATTTATTACGGATACTTGGTTGCACTTGAAGTGAGACAGTAATCCGACAGTAAACGGCTCATATTCTCAGAGTTGTGGCCTCGGCTGGTCTCCAAATAAAATCCTGAGTCCATGACAAGAACGAGTACAAATACAGCTGATTCAGAGACAAGATCAAGACCTTCAAAAACTGGTCTTGAGTACTACAACATTTGATATTACTATAAATTTCTATCATGCATGAAGAAGTGAAGCAGTGGTGCAGTGGTAGCAGGAAATTTAAGGTGGGTAAACTATATGCACAGCAGTAAAAACGGTGGGTAACTATTCATATCCTTAACATTAGTGATCTCAAAAAAGGTGAGTAAACGCTGTTTTGTAAATTTAAAAGGTGCGTAAACGGCGTTTATGTGCATTTACCCTCCACTACACCACTGAATGAAGGATTTGCGTTAATCTGAATAATTGCATAAAATAATCCAAAAACTTCATAATGTCACATAATACATCAGTGTCTCTCCGACCTAATTTCAGCTAATTATCATTAAATACTACCGTTTCTGGCAGAATTAAAACAAGACTGCTGTGTAATAATAACGTAGACCCGACTAATCGATTATTAAATTAGTTGCCAACTATTTTAATAGTCGATTTTAATCGATTCGTTGTTGCAGCCCTAGTTTGGTGTGAGAAGTTTCTTCAGTTTATCCATCATTAGGAAATTTGGGGGAAAGTCCATTTGTCATAATGCAGTTCAGTACCTGTCTGTGTCAGCAGGTGGCGAACGGGGGCTGGTGGCGGGGGCAGAATCCTCGGCCCCAGATTGGGGCAGTTGGGATTGATTCTCTGCCACATCTGGGACTGCTGGGAGCTCTGGAATCTCAAAGTCTTCAGCTGTTGCTCGAAATCAGGAGACGGGAGGGTCAGACATTCTGTCACGTTGCAAAATAAATCACGCATGCTGCTTGTTTAAGAGACCACTATGTAAACGTAGGCCAGACAGATATGCTCGCCGTTCTATGCACATACTCAAGCAATCACGAGCAGACACAGCATATGCCCCACAAATAGCGCATACCTTCCGGAAAGAGACTCTGCGCATACAGTATGAGGGGCTCAACCACAGTGACGACCTGCACCGAGGAAGCAGACGCCATGTCCAGCAGGGACCCGCCGCTGTCAGGGAGGAAGAGGAGGAGGAGGAGGGACAGGAATTTACATTCTGTACGCAGAGTTGCGGGCAGGCTTCATCCCTGCAATTCTGTACCCACCCCTCAGTCCTCGGCCAAAGCAAATTGGGTCCGAGCACGATGGCTATGTTGCTGGGGGTCATGCGGTTCGCGGCCTGCTGCTCCGACAACCGGGCCAGGAACTGGACCAGGTACCTGTGAGAGAAGCGGCAGGGGAATGAGGAGCGGGTCAGCTCAGCAGTGTCCTCAATCGCAGCCCTATGCCGAAGCATGGGGACCGCTGTGTCCCGAAAGGAGAGCTGGAGTTTCTCCTGCCGTGAAACGCCGCAGGTGCTGACCGGAGGTTGTTGTAGTTTTCTTGGGGCAATTTTTGCAGCACCGCCTTCAGCTGCTCCAACCTCTCCTGCACCTCCTTCTCTCTGGGCAGGGAAGGAGTCAGAAGGGGAGAAAAAAACGTTAGCGAATGGACGGATTCAGAAGGGGAGAATGGGTATGCAGTCCTTAAGGACGGGAAATCGCTTCGGGGAAGTTACCCTGCGGCTTTGAACCACTCGCCGTACAGTTCATAGGTCATGAGGGGCTCGGGAAGCTCCCTGAGGTATGACTTCAGCGCGCCTGTCAGACGGGGGGGAATGTAGGTCATCGGACTGGAGATCATGTGACTGGTTCACCGTTATCAAATACGAGGCCATCTGAAATAGTAGTTATTCTCAATATAGCGAGTTTGTCCCCTTGGGGATTAATTCTGCCTGTCTGTCTGTCTATCTATCTAAGACATGTGGCGAACCCCAGAAAACAGAGCCATTCGGGGTAAAGAGTCTCTAGACTTGTCACTGGGCTCCGCCCCTCCCCCCACCTTACTGTCCTATGATGACGTCCCATGCCAACTGGGTTCTCAGGGCTGCTGGCTTAAAAACAGAACTGCAAGGTATCAAGGTGCAAAACCCACAGTCCACAGAACTAAAACGTTGGCAGCTGACATCACACACATCAGGGAAGGGGTGCGTCAGTCATCCCCCTGATTGGAAATCCCCAGCAAGAGTCCATAATTTCAAACTCATTAACGTTGAGTCCACCATCCATCTTTCAACCATTTATTCAGTACAGGGTCAGGGTGAGTTCAGAGCTTATTTTAGGAAGTGTCGGGTGCAGGTCCAGATATAGCTAGTTTTGTTGAAATTTGCTGTGCTCGAACAGGCAGCCTGATCTCTGACCTGCCACTGCGTGTGGGTCGGCGCTAAACTTGCTGTGGTCAACGTCACCACAGTCCAGACTCTTCTTCAGTTGCTTCACCACTGTAGCAGCGGCTGCTAGCCTGAACAGACCCTGTGAATGGAAAAGGAAGGGAAGAGTGACAGAACAGAGATGAACAGATACCCTTCTTCACGATGACCAATTGCAGTCTCATCTGCCTATTGTCACTTTTCTTTCAATATGAGTTGCTCCACCCACCCCCCACCTCCCCCAAGCCATCAACCCTACGAGGTACAAACAACCTGGAAGACTTGCCTTGAGACAAACCCTCACCCACAACCCCCATAACCTCAGGCCGACAGCCCAGCCCCAGTGAAATCGATCATCTGCTCTCTCTGGTACATCCCTTCTTGGCCCAACCTTTCGAAAGTCCTTGGAGACTGATTTCCCACCAGTGCCACCAGGTGCAACATACCGGTCAAGTGGACCTTTGCGAGTCCACAGGAACAGCCTGATACTGAGACCTCATCCCTGTTCAGCAAGGACCTCAATCCCATCTTTACTACAATAACTAATGTACTAAAAGTGCTCAGGTATTTAGGGGGTTGCAGAATTGTGGTGTGAGACTGAGAATCCTATCTCCCATATGGAGCACTCACCTCCTCTCTCAAGGCATTGTTCAGTAGCATGTGGACACACTCCTCGATGGGCATGGCGATCTCCCTCCCGCTTTCCAGCAGGTGAGACATCAGAGGCACCCCGTACACCTTCCCCGAAGGACTGTCCATGTGAGTGTCTAGCATCAGAAAAAGCCTTACTGTTCTGAAGCATTTACACATACAGATACACATTCTCTCCACTCCCTCTCTCACTCTCTCCTCACCTGTATTCTTGTAGTTGTTTTTCAGCTCAGATAAATTCTTCTGCAGAAACTCTAGGGAAGTCTTGTGGAATCCAACCTGAAGTTCTAAAACCTAACAACAGACTCCACCTTAATGATCAGTCCCCCAGTGACACCGTTTACCTGATATAAGGGCACCAAACGGTGACTCACACGAATGAAGTAGTTGGCGTAGTCATCTTCTTTCGAAGCAAAATGATACAGATCTGCAGAGTACTGGTTCTGCACGAAGGAGGTACACACTTCACATTAGCACAGAAGTGTTTGCTGGAGTCCAGATCGATGATGATATTTCACGGCCTTCAGATTTCTACTGCTATGTTATTAGCAAGACTCGTGTTGCAATCGCTGCTCTCTGACATTTGGGGGGCAACAGTGAATGGAGACGACACCAATTCATATGTGTTGTGCCACCTATATCACTCTCTACTTTACACTTGCCACAGCACCAGTTACAGTGCACCGTCCCGACTTGATATCTGTGCCAGCAAAACAAAAAAGTTTCATGCAACCTTGATGCTTTCCAGTCTCCGCCAGGCCTCCTCCACCTCCTCGCGCAGTCCATCCTGTTTGGTCTGCGGCCCTGTGCTGGCCTGCGCTCTGTATGAACAGACGCAGAGGGGACAAAGTGCGAGGGGGTTGGCCATGACCAGAGACACAGAAAAGATCACCAGAGAGGAAGAACAGAGGTCAGATTCTGGAAGAGCCACAGATTCTCAGAAAGGGGTAAGCATTCTTGCAAAGGTCGGCTTTATAGATCCTGGTAGAGACTGACCTGTTGCGTGCATTATGCCAGTCCATCATCAGCTTGGCAAACTGTTTCTTATTCCTCAGGATTTCTGGCAGATCGTCCTGCGACCAAAACCTCACAGGTCAAGATCAAGCATGGAAATGATCCAATCACATCCATAATTTGTGGTGCAGTCAGTCCTGCTACAATGTGACTAATATGTTCCTGAAAAACCTTCTCTTCACTAACATACACATAGACAGTGGGAAAACAGGGTTAGGGGAATGCAACTCCAGAACTTATGGCGCTTTTCCATTGGCATAGAGGAACCAAGCCACACCCGACCCAGAATGTTAAGAGAGACCTGTTACGGCACGGTTCCTGCTCCCTTTGGTTTTCCACTGCAGAAGGGTTCGGGATAGGTGTGGCTGGGTTGGAGACGTTTGTTTACTGTTCACTTGGGGTACATCATGATTTATTATGTGCTAATTTCCGCTAGCACGTCTGTGAGAGTCACCGTGTTAGCATCGAAGGGTAGTGGAATTAGCGTTGTCTTGGGAAAATTTGCATTTCAAGTCTATTCCATTCAGTCTTTCTTTTTTAAGTAGGTTGGAAATTCACAAATTCCCAGGTATAAGTACTGTGGCAAAGAAAAAACGTCAGTTTGCAGTAGGGGTGGGGTACCGCTTGGTTCCTGGTAGCAGTGGAAATGCACCATTAGTAACTTTTACCAAACAGGATGAATAAAATAATAAAAAGTCATACGAGTGCAATAATGTAATTATATGCATTTTAAATAAGAAATAATAAGACATTAATAAATTATATGACAAACATGTCCTACAGGCAAAATACAGTACTAAAGGTTAGAGGAATGCGACTCTCAAACTTTGTTAGTTACACGCAATGACAATTAAATAAAAATTAAAACAGTGACAATAGTGGACAACAATAAATGTTACAGCAATAATCAACTAGCATGTTTTTGTGTTCATTTGTTAAATATTTTTAGAATATAAGACTTTGACCTGTGCAGTTCATGAATATACAAAAAGTTTGATTCTTTTAGATTTAAAAACCGTTCCGACCGATTTAAAAGAACGATTCATTAATGAATCGGACATCTCTTTCGTTCACTTGGACAGCTGTTTTTCCTGTGCATGCAGTATTTCTCGCTGAGGCCAAATCACGTATTGCATTCCTCTCTGACTGAAAATCATGCAAAGTACAAACACAATTCTGCATTGTATTGGGCTTGGGTACTAATGTATCATTTGCATTAGAACATTTGCAATGTGATATCACACATTGTAGCACAGCTGGCTGTATGAATAAAGTCCCTTTCATGATTATATAATTAGAAATCATTCTTGAGACCGGAGGTTCACTGCAGTTTCAATGTAACAATGAGAAAAAGAACATACATTGTTACAGCAAGTGTTATGACCTTAGGCACTGGCCCCTGCTTAGCAATGGGATACTTGTTTTTTTGAAGAAACTCTGACCTCACTGAGCTTATTGAGTGGCTCCAAAACGTCCTTCTCCAGCTGCACCTCAAAGTCTGCCAGCGTCTTCGCTAGAAAACTCTGCATGAAGCAACACATCTCCAGCACCTTCCTGACAAGAGAGAGCGCAAACACAGCCAAAAAACATCATGGGGGCCCCCCCCGTATGGATCGAGCCTGCCGCTGGGGCTGCATCGTCTCCCGGAGCATGCTGGGACGATAGCTCTCCTTCTCACCTAATGGAAGAATCCGCGTCAAAGTCTTTGAAACTGTCTGCCATGCTGACTGAGAGCATCATGAGGGGTAGTTTTTTCTGCGGGCAGGAGAAGGTGGGGGTTAGGTTCCTGTGGCCGGCAGACTGATTTCATCATCGGGCCCTTTGAGCAAGACCTTTAACCCCAATTGCTCCAAGGACTGCCTGATCGTACTTTCCTAATTGTACGTCGCCTTAGATAAAAGTATCGGATAAGTAAATTACAGTAATGATAAATTACAATGTATGCATCTAGCACACATCTGGTACAAATCTAACGTGGATTTTGTTATAAATTAATGCTGTTGGCACCATTGGTAGTGCATAGTGTTTTTGTTGATGTGATGTTTTTGAAGAATAAAGAAGTTACTCCATTATACTCAGATAACTGAGGTACAATATTACAGGCCGATAAAGACATAGGACAGTGGTGTTGGTTACCATGCGCCTGTCGCTCTCCAAGCCCTGCTGACTCTGCAGGCACGCTACCAGCTTTTTATGAATGACCTGAGCGGCTCTCCGGGCTGGCTCCACCCTCTGCTCCACCTGCAGCCAATCCGGTTTGGAATTCGGGATGCAGAGATAAAATCGTCAAAACGCTGTTTGTTTCGGAGGCCCGAGATCTGATATACCGCGTGCACAGGCACCGACAGAAATATGTTGCTTTCGTTTCGTTAAAAACCTTTGAAAATCAAGCGCAGATCCTCCATTGTTCTTTAACAGAAAAACAACACCTACATCTGAACTTACCAACACGAGATCCCCATCAAGTAGATGAGTAGCATCTTGTGACCTAAAGGTTAAAAGATTTCAGTTGAATCCTGACATTGACCCAAACAGTCCTGTCCACCGGACCTCAGCAAAAATTTCGCCCGGAGGCGTTGCATTGCTTAACAGCCTCGTATTCTGACTCAGCTGAGACATGTTTGAATCTCAGTAATCTTGTAATGAATAAGCAGTCAGGGATAGATGGATGGACAGATAATAGGTAGCTTTTTATCTTAATAGAAACACAAGGACATTGCCCTAACATTTGCCAATGGCTGCCATAATATTTTCGATGCCACAAATTTCAATGCATTCCTCTTCATTGCAAGGAGCCTAATAGGTCAAAGCAGTCTTGTAGCAGTAGAAAATATATTACTTATTTAATGTTAATTTCTATTTAAAAAAAACAATTAATGGAAATGGGATTGGCTGTCTGTGTGGTAAAGGCAATGATAGAAGCAAAGTACTTGAACTGAACAAAAATGTATTTACACGAACTTTCATTGTGATGTAAAAGAATGGCAACCTTTTCTGTTGTCGGAAAAAAAAACCTCAGGCGTGCAACTTGCAGTCACCCACCCTATTTTGGTAACATATTGCACGCTCTTGCTTTTGCTGCGCTTTGGGCTCCGGCGTGAGACCTCAAGGCAACGCGACATGCGGTCACAATGGACGGCGGCGTTTTATCACCTGTGGAATTCACGAGGTTACGGGCTCCGAGCAAATCGTCATTTAATCGTTACTAGCTTGCTGGTATAAGGAGGGAAGCCGGGCATTAACAACCACACAAAATATTTAAATACTAAAGATAATTCTACTTAACGAATGTTTTCGTTTTCGCAGCATTATATAGTGTGCGCGCAGATTTGTGGGTGTTCAAGCGCAATATCCCCCCCCCCCATTATTACACAGATAAGACAACCTTTTATTCCGCACGCAAACATGTCAGTATAATCGACAGTATAGCAATGTCACTTATGTAATGCAGGGGATTTTTACATTTTAAGGTAGGCGTAGGAATGGCAGTTCGGATGAGCTGATCCAAACCCGGGCTGGGGAGAGGCAACAACCCTAAATTCGAGGCCCTAAGAAGTCTTCGTTTTTACACATCTTATAAATTAAGTTCACAACATAACAATGAGGCGTAAATTCACTTAGATTAAAACACTCTCTCACAGACAAATGATATATAGTATAGATTTAATAGTACACTAGCACCAGAATGGACCCGGACAGAAGATAGAGTGTGACGATTTTCTTCAGCTTTTGCCGGAGAATTCAATAAGTTTGCTGCCTCGTTTCTTGGTAGTATAAACCATCGAGGTTCTCGTATTTCTGCTGAAAGGTCACACTTTAGAGATGAAACGTAAATTCTAAAAAGTTCTGCTGTTCTGAGTTTACTGTTTGTTTTGCGCCGCTTACAAAAGTCTGTACTATCTCTATTTAGAGGAATCAGAAAAGAAGACTACTTACTTGTATCCATATCCCAACTGTTTCAACCGATTCAGCATGGTTACGTTGGGTTCATTTGTTACATTCCGTGATCCGATCCCCCACCTCGCTCTTCTTCAGTCCGCTAACAGTCCGGTGCGGCTTTACACGGTGAGCTCATTGAATCAGCGAATTTGTCTTTGCTTTCTCATTTCCCCGTACCCTTGTATGCGATGGCCAGCTTGCAGCTTTTACTTCTTGCTTGAAGGGGAATCTTGATGTGGACACAAACACACATGCAAAATCCCCACAGGGTCTGCAAAAAAAGGAAGTTGTTTTTTTTTTGTGACATATAGAAAAAGAAGTGCGTTGACTTTCAAAAAGATATTTCGAAGCAGTTTCAGTAAAAATTGGAAAAACACTTGTAAAACGGTGACAAAAGAACAAGCTGTAAGTGACAAGAGGCCGGGTAAAGCTAACGTGCTGCAGTGTAGTAACTATTATAGTAACACCGATAGTAACACTGAAAAGATGCAGCCATCACTTGCGAGGACCTGATCACTGCGTCGCGAATTACAAATATAGTGAATAGAATGCAAAACTCTGGATGCAAATGACAGCCAAGTCAGTGTACCTTCATTAAAAGGGGTACTTACACTGTTTATGGCAGAGAAAAGTACCGTACAGCGTTGGGTCAGAGTAGCCATACCATGCTCCCACCTGTTGGCATTTACAGATACTAACACACGTTGGTTCTAATGAGGTGCACAGTTGGACCCCGGAATTGGCGCTTGGCAGCGATCGGGTCGCTTTGCGGGTTGCGGCGTTACGTCAGTCTCTGCAGCCAGGTTATGTTTTGCAGGCGCGCAAACTCGATGCCATTTCGCAACACGACCATTTCTTTACGAGGCTCGTATGTGACTGCTCTACCACCTCAGATGACCTCGCAAAATGTATTTTAAATTAAAACATCTATTTTCGGCGAATGATAACGCGCATAAGCGGAACATTGCGATGTCCGTGAAGATTACTTATCGTTGTAGACGATTAGAATGTCGGGCTGCAGAAAGCGATGTGCTATGCTTCATATAACGAAGTGTAACCCACCCACCCCTCCCCAAATAAGTAAAATATATAATTGTTTTAAGAAATAGTAACCCCAATTCAGTTACTTTCGCAAGTTTCTACGCTTCTGTCGACACATATCTATTCAGCGATGCAAAAGAAAGTACTGGCCATCCCACTACAATTATTAATCATTTAGGCCAATGAGGCATCAAGCTAATAAGCCAGAACTACTTATTAGAAAATGACAGTCGTAATATGAAAACGGTGTAGAGAAAAACTACGCTATTCTAACAGCTAGTAGGTCATAACTTGTAAGCATTCAAGATCCCTTATTTGCCTTTTGTACATCAGTATATAGGACATCTTTCCCAGTTAATGTAATGTGCAGAATCGACTTGTCCATCGAAGTGCACCGTTCATTCATGAAGCTAGAGTATTATCACTCTTTATTAGTCGAATTTTTGGTAGCTATATTTATACCAAGGCTGCATGGTCGAAAATCATCCAGATGCTTCAGTAGGCTATAGTGTTGGCTTGCAAGGAGCCCCCTGCCCCCTACCCACTGGCTGGATTCAGAGAAGAAAAGGAGAAGCGGTCAGACACAGCTGGTGTTGCGGACGGAACACATTTGCTGTAAGAGGACTAGGTCATAACTGATTTTTTTTTGCGGAGGTTTCTGCAAATAATAGCAAACCACTGCAATGCCGAAAGTCCTTTAAAAGGCGGCAAGACGGAAACCGCTCACCGGTTCAGGCGAGACGTAAAGTGGAGTTTTATGTGTGGGAAAAAGACCATAGGTACATTGGTATGACGTAGGCCTATATAAGTGGATTTTAAGCGATAACTGTTACGCGTATATTTGTATCCCAGCTGCAAAAATCAACAGTCTGTTTCAAGCGGAAGTGTGAGTTTCCTGTGCATATACTGCCACCGCTTGGTGGGAGACGTGAATTTTAAACGGCGTGTAAGCAACGCCGTCCTGCTTCTTTTTTATCTAAAAAAAATCTAATGTAATTTTCAAACATCGTGTTATAGTCACATTAACTGCTTAGTCGGCTGATTCATGAGAGCACAGCAGATATATAGTGAAGATGGGTTTTAATTCAGTTCATTACCCATCCATCCAACCCCTTACCCAGGACTGGGCAGTTACAGAGCCTGGAGCCCATCTCAGAAAGCGCAGGGCTCAAGGCAGGATAGTTCAGTTCATATTCACAACATTACAATGTCTTAAAGCCCCTGAGGAGTTCGACCAGTGAGCAAGCCAGAGGCGACAGTGGCAATGAGAAACTCCCTAGAAGGAAGAAATTTTAGGAAGAACCGGACCAGAGGGTGAGCCCATCCTCCAGGGGCTGGCAAAGGAAGTCCAAAATAGCCAAGTCCCAGGTAATGAAGTAAAATTGTGCATCGTTCAGGTAAAAATGCGGAAGGTCAGCTGATGCCAGGACAGGAAGGTGAGGAAGCTGCTTCCTTCAGTGGGGGGGGGGGGGGGATGGCAGAAAGCAGAGGAGAATGGCAGATGTGTCAAGCTGGCTGGGCAGGCAGGGAACTGCCCAACATATGGAGCTCCAGGACAGAGAACTGGACAGTGCATTAAGAAATCTGTGTGACTAATAGGTAAAATTATATTAAGTATTTTGTAGTGCAGCATTCAGATAAGGAAGTTCCAGAAGGTGTAATTAACTATGACAGCTTAACTAGGAGGTGGGAGGGGGGCAGGCATGAGGAATACCTGACCCCCAACTAGCTAATTAAACACTTAAATTCCACCTTATTCACCATACATTCCATATGCAGGTTACAAGTCCTTTTTAATCTTAAGGCGTGATTCTTGGCTAAAGCCGCTGTGACTGAAGATTTTCAGTAAACACACAATACAAAACATACAAGTTAAACGACAAAAGATGGAAGATAGGAATGGGGAGACTAAATCCTCAACACTGGCACGCCACAGGGAAGCGTTCTGAGCCCAATGCTGTACTCCCTGTTTACACACGACTGTGTGTGCAGGCACAGCTCCAACACTATCATCAAGTTTGCTGATGATACCACCGTTGTGGGCCTGATCAGCAACGATGACGAGACGGCCTACAGAGAGGAGTGCTGTCAGGAGAACAACCTCTCTCTCAACGTCAGCA